CAGCATTACTCCCTGTCTAACACAGGGTGTTTGGCAAGAATAACTTTTTTTTCCTTAATCCTGCATAATCCCTTTCTCAATGGATCTTCTTTTGCAATGCTTAGGATGATTTATGCCCAAGAATAGCAATCTGAGGAATTTAGCTGACATGGACCAAAGTCCAAGAAGGAGAGAGAATGTAAGGTTTAGAAAACATCAGCTGGGAAACTGAGCATTGAGATGTCAGCAAACAGCTCTTCTCAGCTAGATTTCATAATCTGGAAAGAAGTGAGAAGCATGAAAGAGGATTTAAGATAACCTGTTTTACTCTGAAATGAAGTGGAGAGGACATGTTTACATTTGGCCAGAGTGAGAAATATTTGAACTTTTGTAGCTGGATTCTGACCATGCCCTGTGCACACATCAAGAGGCTAAAATAAGGCATGTGATGCAGATGGCCTTGGGAGCAGATGACTTCACATTTGGATGCTATCCTAGATAATGCATAGGGAGGAGTGAAATGCATCATCAGCTAAAAGTCTCACCACATTTCAGGACCTGCCATATGATGAAAACATGCCTAAATATGGTGCAGAGATAAGAGAGAGAATATTCAAAACATCAGGACAAATACTGAGGTTTTGTCACAGTTCTTATTCAGACAAACTCCTAGTGAAGGCAGGGAACATCTCCCAAACAGCAGCTCAAATGAATTCCAGCTCTGTCCCATAGCTGTTAAATCCCCTCTTCATCTCCCAAAAACCTTCCCTCCAGAAAGGTATGTGCCAAGAAAACTGTCTGCTTTTCATGGACTGCTGTTGGCATCTCTGGAAGTTTTATTTTCAATCCAAAMAATCTCAGTCCTGGCTAGGGTAACAAACTTCTGCAAGTTTAACAGATAAATGCCATGCAATAGGAATATATACACATTCTCTGTTCCCTCCTRCCAGTGTCACTGTGCACAGCTGTGAGAGCATTCTGACCTGATGAACTGGGTTTGTTATTATTTGTAAATGCAATGTTTGTAAAAGGCAATGTGAAACAGATTTTRCAGGAGGTCARTTCCTTGAGTGCTRTATCATTAGACAATGACAAGACAYGCTGTGAGGCATCTTCSATATCTCTGTGRTGTTTCCARTACAGCATCACTCATTCAGAAYAGAAGCACCTGTAAKMAAAAAATAAAAATAAAAAAGCRGTAAAMRTTACATTTTCCAGTGTCAGAAATGCAAGGCTTGGACAAACACACTGAAAGGCTGTCTGGAACAGATGAAAGTGTTAGGAATATTTGTTTTCTTGTAAAGAGTGGTAGGTTAGGACATTCCTTGTTATAAAAAGCCATCATTCCCTAAACCACTCTCCCTGATCCTGCTGGCATGACTGAGAACCTCCATGTAACTGAGCCTGCCCACAGCTGGAATTCTTTGGCTCACCTGCAGGAGCTGCTAACCCCTGGTGTTGCCGAGGTGGCTGACTCCAATGCGGTCCAGAGGAACTCCAAACCTTCTCTTGGGCAGCTCAAGCACTTTCCTGCACGAGGAAAAAGAGCAGAGAGGGAGGGAAATAATTGAGAAAACGTGTCTATAAATAATCAAAATGCTATCACATGTTTGGTTACTACATGTTTGATTCATGCACTCATCCCACCAACACTTTATTGTCCAGACAGAATGGTGGTGCATTCAGGAACAGCCAAAGGTGTGAGTGTTTAAAAATAAGRTGCTGCACTTGTCTTACAAAAGGCTGTAGTTGCAGCAGTTTTACAGTCTGGTTGAGCTTGATCCACTATCTCTATTTTTATCTGGCAGCAAACTAACTTCACAGGTTAACTGCTGTTCATAAAAGAAAGGTGATACACTGCATTTATAAAGGGAATTGTTTCCTGCACAGTAGCACSTACTGCAGGTGACCCATTACCTGGGTCTTTGAAAGCTCCAGGGCCAGCTGAGGTTAAGATAAGCAAGGAGGTCAAAAGTATTGCACAGTAACACAGGGGACAAGCCAGGGAGCCCTAGCTGGATTTTTCTATAGGTTCTCTGGCAATGAAATGTTCAACAAAATTGTATAGCAGCAATCCTTTAATGAGATTGAAATGGGACAAGTTTTGGGGTTGGGTCCCCCCCCCCCCCCCCCCCCCCGGTAAATTTTCTGACAATTTGACAAATGAGAACACAGGAACGTGTGAAAGAATTTCTATGCAGAAATATTTTTTGCAGTTCTTTTTATAGAAAATAAGTTTTCCCATCTTAATTCAGCATTTTTGGAGCATTTTTTTTTCCACCAGCAGAAATTTCATTTTCATTGATTGTGGAAGTGGCGAGGTTTCCTGCAGTTGAGAATAACCTCAACTTTTGCCCTCAGAAATACTCGCCAGCGAAATGYAGGTCCAGGAGAAGGCCTTGAAGATTAATTTTTTACCGGTCCTTGTCGAGGAACATAAATTTAAAAAAAAATTGTTCTGTGAGTTGGCAACTGCAAAGCAGTGAACAGGAGAGTTGTGGGGCACTCGAGTCTCTGTGTGACTCAAGGCGAGCTCTGTTGAGCTCCCTACCCTGGGCCGAGCAAACCCCACCCAGAATCGTGCATTCCTTGCTCTCCTCTGAGCAGGCTCCTTCCCTCACACCTCCCGGGCACGGGCTGCAGTCCAGACCCATCCCTGCAGCATCCCCAGTGACTCTTTTCCAGCTGCTTTCCAGATGAGGTCAGGGAACGGGAATTGGTGCATCCATTTGTGGGGAGCAGCGCACGCATCACGCTGCTGCGGTTACAGAATTAAAGAAAGGGGGGCATTTGCAAGGTTTGTCCCTTCCTCGGGCACCAACAAAGCCAGCACTGCCGCACTCAGCCGGAGGGAGAGCGAGGGRAAGGAAAGCCAGGATGCTCATCCTGCTGCCTCAAGGGCAGCGCTGCTTTTCCCCCCGGCGGGGAGGCACCGGCGGGACACTTTGGGCTGTCAGAGCCATCCCGAGCCTGCCGGAGAAAAGCGGAATTACCTCCCCAGCCGGGAATCGGCTGCGAGGGTGTGGCAGAGGCTGTTGGTGCCTCAGGAGCTGTAAGGGTGAGATGCTGTGCACCCAAAGCGATTCGGGGATGGGGAGCGGTGCCGGAGCGCAGCCGAGCGTCCCCTCTTGCGGCCGCCCCGAGCCACGGCAGCCCGGCACAGAGCCGCTTACGAGGGACAAAGCGACTATTTCTGCTTAAAACAGCCTTGTCTGAGCTTCACGAGTGTCGCTCTGTCTGTCTGCCTGTGGATCTTTCTACCTCTCCTGCAGATTTTCKCTTTCCCCGTGCTTTTCAAAGCGTTACAAACCGATGTTTATGCAAGACCGGGGTCTGGACTCTCTTGGTGGGTGCCAGAACAAGTTGTTAAGTCGGCTTACAGTTGATCTGCTCTTTTCCGAAAGTTTCTGCTTTGTACCAGGCTGCATTGACTCGGGGAGCTCAATTTATTTATCAGCTTCCACAAATTAATTTCCTGGTCCCTAAAGGTGATGGACTCAGCTCTTAGAGCAGTGAGCTGTTACCTGTTGGCTGAAAGACTCTGACAGGGTGCTCAGTTCTCTGTTTTACTGCTCCAAGTGCATTAGCCCTTGTTTAATCTAAAGGTATCTAAAGGCACCTTTCTATCAAAAGCCTTATTATTCTTCCATAGCACCCATCTGATCATCAGTCCATGCTGGTGGTGGGTACCAAGCCATCACTGCAGTGATCAAGGTGGCTCATGTGGTTAATGTAAATGGCTCAACCCCGAATTTAAAAGCTGAACARCTTCCCCAAAGTGATAGTCCCAATGCAAGACTGAAAACTGTGCTGGAGATGCTGGGAAAGTGGGAATTTTGTGCAGCATGTCACTCATTTTCATGAGCTTATTATACAGAGACAAGGTGTTTTTCACCATAAGTTCCCTTTTTTGTTTGTTTGCTTTTTGTTGTTGTTTTGGGGATTTTTGTTTGTTTGTTTGTTTAGTTTTTCCCATGTGCTGCACATAGAATGAAAGAAGATTTCCATCCAAAAAACCATGAGAAAATTTGGKAATATCATGGACCTTGCAAAAAAGCATAGCTTCAAAAATTACCTTTTATTTCTTCTCCTGGAAAGGGCAAACATGCTAAAAAGCGAAAGAAGAGTGAGCTGATTTTGATCTCTTGAAGAGGCRGACAGAGCAGAATGATTCTACTCAAAGTTTTAAGAATTTTGTGCTTTCTCACTTTTGGCTGCAGCCAAGCAGTCCTAATGGTGGACTGTTAGGCTAAATGGAAAAACAACAAGAAAATATTGCAAAACTTTGTTTGAAAAAAGTACTTGTAATACTGACTGTCTCTCGTGAATAATTTCCATTTCCAGATTAAGCTTTAAGCATGTTATTAAATACTTTGTGGCATTAGGGATTCCATCCAAAAGAAGACAGTTACCAGAAGAGCAGAACAAGACAGTGAAGCTCTCTCAGACCCAGGGAACAGCCCCTAAAGCTTTGTCCCAAACCCAGGCACATCACAACTGCCCAGCAAACCTGATGGGGGCAAAAGCTAACCCATCAGTATCCAGAACAATTCCCAGCAGCCTTCCTCCAACTTTATCACTGGCAGGAACATTKAAGAGTTTACCTCTGTTTGCCTTTAGCATCCACGGAGGCTGAAGAAATTCTGTCAATTGGGGAGCCAAATCCTGGGAAGCTTCTTTTCCTCTTGGTCTCAGTCACCTCATTCTCCAGAGACACCAAGTCATCAAGAAGGATCAATTTGTCTGCCAGGTTGGTGGCTGATTTCTCTTCACTGGCAATGGGATGTGCTCCCACACCCAGAGCAGCAGAAGGTTCCAAAGGCTGAAAAAG